ATGTCTTCCTCTATTTTAAGTACCAATCAGTCTTCCTGGTACCAGGAATAGAGGTCAACTATGCAAATAAGGTCAGAGCTCTGGTCCAGTTCTCTATCATCCTTCTGTCAGATCATGCTTTCACCTCTCTTTCCTCCTCCTCCATGTTGCCTCCTTCCTCCTCGAGGTCCTCTTACTTGAGGTCCTCTTATCCCTAAAGCAGTTGTCCCCAACCTTTTTGGCACCAGGGACTAGTTTCATGGAAGACAATTTTTTCAGGGACCTGTGGTGGGGTGGGGGGAGGAGGGTTAGGGATGATTCAAGTGCATTACATTTATTGTGCACTTTACTTCTATTATTATTACACTGTAATATATAATGAAATAATTATACAACTCACATAATATATAAACAGTGGGAGCCCTGAGCTTGTGTTTCTGCAACTACATGGTTCCATCTGGGGGTGATGGGAGACAGTGACAGATCATCAGGCATTAGATTCTCATAAGGTGCTTGCAGCCTACATCCCTCACATGTACAGTTCACCAAAGGGCTCACGCTCCTATGAGAACCTAACGCCACCACTGATCTGACAGCAGGTGGAGCCCAGGTAGCAATGCGAGCAATGGGGAACAGCTGTAATGCCTGTAATCTCAGCACTTTGGGAGGTCGAGTTTGGTGGATCACCTGAGGTCAGGAGTTCAAGACCAGCCTGGCCAACATGGTGAAACCCTGTCTTTAAAAAAAAAAAAAAAAAAAAAAGAATTGTATGTTTTCTCATCTTACCCAAATTCTTTAGTGTTTTAATGTTATACTTTTAAGCATATGTGTTAGGAATGTATTGAAACTATTTACTTCCCCCTAGAGGCATAATTTAAGCTTAAATAACATTTAGCGATCATTTTATAAGAAACAGCTGAGTGTGGTGGTGTACACCTATAGTCCCAGCTACTCGGGAGGCAGAGTTGGGAGGATGCTTGAGCCCAGGAGTTCTGAGGCCAGATTGGGTGACATACCAAAAGCTCATATCTTAAAAAAAAAAGCAAGCAAAAAACTATTAAGTGGATGTTAAAAGATTTAATTTCTATATTAAAAATAGTAGCTAATTTTTTCTACTATGTGCCAGGTGCTATTCTTATCATTTATATATTAACTACATAGTCTAGTTGAGTTAATTTTCACAGTAATTGGATAGGAAACTGAGTTAGTCCCCAAACGCAATTATTGGTGTAGTGGTTCTTCACCAATTTTTTTTTTTTTTCCCTCTGAGATAGAGTCTTGCTCTGTCTCCCAGGCTGAAGTGCAGTGGCATGATCTTAGCTCACTGCAATCTCTGCCTCCTGGGTTCAAGCAATTCTCCTGCCTCAGCCTCCTGAGTAGGTAGGATTACAGGTGTGTGCCACTATACCTGGCTAATTTTTGTATTTTTTTTTAAAGACGGGGTTTCACCATGTTGGTCAGGCTGGTCTTGAACTCCCGACCTCAGGTGATCCGCCCGCCTTGGCCTCCAAAGTGCTTGGATTACAGACGTAAACCACTACGTCTGGCCAATTTTTGTATTTTTAATAGAGGCAGGATTTCACCATGTTGGCTACGGTGGCCTCAAACTCTAGACCTCAGGTGATCCCCCTGCCTCGGCCTTCCAGAGTGCTGGGATTACAGCCATGAGCCACTGTGTCCGGCTCTTCATCTACTTTTAAGGCTTTATTTACTGTATGAACATTGATAATTCATATATTAGATATAGAGTTCTCTGGGCCAGGTGCAGTAGCTCATGCCTATAATCTCAGTGCTTTCGAGATTGAGGTGAGAGGATTACTTGAGGCCAAGAGTTCAAGACCTGCCTGGGCAACAAAGTGAGACCCACTCAACAAAATAATATATACATTTTTAAATTGGCTTGGTGTATTGGTGTGCATGTGTAGTCCTAGTTATTCAGGAGGCTGAGTTGGGAGGACTGCTTGAGCCCAGGAGTTTGAGGCTGTAGTGAGCTATGATCATGGCACTGAAACTGATGTAAGAGACCCTGTCTCTTAAAAAAATAAGTCTCGTATGGCTCATGAAAAAGAAAAAAAAAAAGGAAATAGTGTTCTCTGGAGTTAATGTTTTTCCCATTCCTATAACTAGACTATTGATGTTAATATAAAGCTTGAATTTCACTTGTATCTTTTGTGTGTGTGTATGAATTGGTGGTGTGTATGGTGTTAATAAAGTTATAGAGCACCAGTGCCCAATAAAAATATGTGAGCTATATATATAATTCTAAAAATTTTAGTATTCTTTAAAATTATAAAACAGATGAAATTAATTTTCATATTTTAAATAGGTATTTTATTTTAACTCAATAGATCCAAATGTTATACGCTCAATGTAAAAATCAATGGCACTATTTTTTTTAGTGGGATTGGGAGTACCAGCTCCTTAATATCTGGTGTATATTTTACGCTTGTCCTGAGCTTGTTTCAGGACTAGCCACATTTGAAGTGATCGATAACTGCATATAGCTAGTGCCTACTCTGTTTAACAGCACAGCTCTAGAGCTTTTCCTGTTATGAAATGATATATAGGCTTTTATTAGTAATACAGTAATCCAGTAGTTGAGTCCTGGTTGAGTCCATGTGTACAAGGGAAAGATATTAAAGCTATCTGATTTTATTCTCATCTATGTCTAGCATGTAGATGAATGTAAAATCTTGGAATGCTCTTCTTAAACCCATTCTCAAAATGTGTAAATATTAAAAATATTTAGTAAATATTAAATATTAGTAAATATTAAAAAAAGATTGATGTTAATTTATTTCAGCTTTCTGCATCCAACATTCTCTATTTTCAGTGAATTGACTTAGAGGAGTGAATAATGATGTGAAGAATTGCATGCTATACATTTTTAAATTATATTGTGTGTATTTGAGGGTTTCAACATGTTACAGAGTACATTTTTAAAAGACACCTTGTGTCCAAAGCCAGTCCATATTACATCGTCAAATCTGATCATGAATATAGCTTAAAATATTTAAATATTCTTTGATATTTTTCTTTTGAAAAAATATTTATAAAAGAAGCAATTTGATTTTTTTTGTGTGTGTGACAGAGTCTGGCTCTTTCGTCCAGGCTGGAGTGCAGAGGCGCAATCTCAGCCCACTGCAACCTCCACCTCTGGGGTTCAAGCAGTTCTCTGCCTCAGCCTCCCGAGTAGCAGGGATTACAGATGCCCACCACCACGCCCAGCTGATTTTTTTTGTATTTTTAGTAGAGACAGGATTTCACCATCTTGGCCAGGGTGGTCTTGAACTCCTAACCTCATGATCTACCCGCTTCAGCCTACCGAAGTGCTGGGATTACAGGTGTGAGCCACGGCGCCCGGCTGCAATTTGAACTTTATAATTTTTATTAAAAACAAACCTGCAGAAATGATACTGTATAGAAAGACCTTTTAAATTCCAACAGTTTTTAAATGCTTTAAATGTTATTTCCAGGGCTGTGCACTTTAGTGATGTGACATTTTATTCATTCTTTTTTTTTTTTTCTTGCGATGGAGTTTCACTCTTGTTGCCCAGGCTGGAGTGAGTGCAATGGTGCGATCTCTGCTCACTGCAGCCTCTGCCTCCTGGGTTCAAGCGCTTCTCCTGCCTCAGCCTCCCAAGTAGCTGGGATTACACACATGCGCCATCACACCCGGCTAATTTTGTATTTTTGGTAGAGACAGGGTTCTCCATGTTGGTCAAACTGGTTGACAGTTTAAAGTATTTCAGTATGAGCCAAAGTAGTAAATGACAACACTGCATTTATTGCAGTAGGCAAATGTTGTTAAAGCAAGGAAATGTGAAAAATAGGAGTAATAACTGCTTTAGTTTAGATCCTAGTAGAATGAGAGACTAATTTTACCTTGAATGAAGTATGCATTTAGCTTAACTATGGCTTAAAAGCAATTGAGATTCCATAATTTTCTTATAATTTATAGATTTTAGTCTAAGATTTTGCAGAGAACTTGACTTCCTAGTAGTTGTACTGGCATAATTAGGAAGTGACTCACATTGATATTCTTGAGAAGTTTGAATGAATGTAGTGGTCTGTGTAAGAGTTGGTGACATTCCTTTAATTATTTGGTGGCTTCACTCTTGAGCAAATCTTATAAGCTCTTCAGTTGAGACTGATCATGTTTTTGTGAAAAAACATCAAGCCCCCGTTAAGGAAAAATTGAAATGTATTTTATAAGTAAGAAAAGCCATTATCATTTTAACTATAGAACTAACTTAAAATTTTAGAGTCTGCCCCAAATTCTCCAAGAATTGGAAGCCCATTGAGCCCAAAGAAACATAGTGAAACAAGTATTCTTCAAGCAATGTCTAGAGGTTTGTCTACCAGTTTGCCTGACTTGGACTCAGAACCTTGGATAGAAGTAAAAAAGAGACATCAGCCAGCCCCAGTGAAATTGAGGGTAAGTTGTTACAGACTGAGTGAAGTGTGATATGCCCTGGATGGATATAAGGTCAGTGCATTTTATGTTTGTCAGGTATACATGTAAAATTTGAAAAAGTTAAAAAAAATGTTAAATTTGTAATTGTTGACCTTCAGTAGACACTTACGAGTTATTGTATGAGGAAAATAAGTTGTATCAATTTTTAAAGTATATTTTTTAGTTCTGAACCTGATTTAAGAATTTTGGGATGTGGGCACAGTGGCCCATACCTGTAATCACAGCACTGTGGAGGCCGAGGCAAGAAGATTGCTTGAACCAGAAGCTCTAGGCCACCTGGGCAACATAGGGAGACCCTGTCTCTTCAAATAATTCAAAAAATTAGCCGAGCATGGTAGAGCGTGTCTGTGGTCTCAGCTACTCAGGAGGCTGAGGCAGGAGGAACACTTGAGCCCAGGAGGTTAAGGTTGCAGTGAGCCATGATCACACCACTGCACTCCAGTGCAGGCGACAGAGTGAGACTCTGTCTTAAAAAAAAAAAAAAAAAAAATTTATTTATATCAA